AACATCGTAAGGTTTCCACCAAATGCCCACTGTGCCCCCAGCCTCTCCTGCGACCGGCCGCCCCACGTCCTCGTCGTACATTCACACAACCGACTGCAACTTTGTCGACAATGCTGGCAGAACACTCCTTCTCCGCGGTGTTAACCTCTCTGGCTCCTCCAAGGCTCCTGTAGACCGTCCATCCTACATTCGAGACGGCTTTTGGGACACTGCCGAGGCCGGCGGGGAATCATTCGTCGGCCGTCCTCTCAACATCGACGATGGGTCCGCAGACGTCCATTTAGCACGGTTAAGCGGGTGGGGATTCAACATGCTTCGCTTTCCTGTAACATGGGAGGCGCTCGAACACGAGGGCCCGTGAGCACATTATATTCCGTTCTTTCACCCTTCCTTGACTTTCTCTAGTGGCAAGTACGATTATGAGTTCATGGATTACACTGTCCGTGTACTACGCAAGTGCAAAGAGTATGGTTTCCGCGTGTATATGGACCCGCACCAGGACATTGTACGTCAATTACCTTATCCTTTTCTTCGTGGCGCCTCATGTACTCAGTGGTCGCGTTTCTCGGGCGGTTCGGGTGCCCCGTTTTGGACACTGGCTGCTTGCGGTATCAATCCCCGGAATTTCACCGCAACCCAAGCTGCCATTGTTCACTGCGAATACCCTCTTGCCCACGATTCTGACCCCGGCTCCCTTCCTGCCATGATATGGTCAACAAACTATGGGCGACTCCTCTCCCAAACCCTCTTCACCCTTTTCTTTGCCGGCCGTGAATTCGCACCGCGATGCGTCATAGACGGCCAGAACATACAGGACTACCTGCAGTCACACTTCATCGAGGCTATGGGCCAGCTGGCTGACCGCATTCGCGCTGCCGGCGACCTGTTGGAGGACTGCGTGATCGGTTGGGATAGCATGAACGAGCCTGCAGAGGGATTATGTGGCTGGCAAGATCTCTCTGTCAATCCTCCGGCACAAGGATCAACCCTGAGAAAGGGCACGCACCCCACACCGATACAGAGCTTCCGCCTCGGCGTTGGCCAGGCTCAGACCGTCGAAAATTATACATTCAGCGCGTTTGGCCCCAGTCGTGATGGAACAGTCACAATAGACCCCCAGGGTCGCTCAATATGGGCTCGGCCCGAGGACGAGCCTGACGGAATCCATCCCAAGTGGGGCTGGAAGCGTGATACGAGCTGGACGCTGGGCACCTGCATATGGGCGCAACACGGGGTGTGGGATGTGGAGACGGGATTCTTGATGCTTCCAAACTATTTCCAAGCTCTTCCTGACATGGACACACCCGTCGAGTTCCTTGAAGACTTTTGGAAAGCCCATTTCGTGGCCTTTGCGCGGCGAATACGTGCGGCGCATCCCGAAGCGATCCTTTTTGTCCAGCCTCCTGTGTTTGCGAGACCAGTCGTACTCGAGGACGATGTCCTCTCTGGCCGTGCTGCATACTCTGCTCACTACTATGATGGCCTCACACTAATCACGCGTCACTGGAACTGGTTCAATGCTGATGCCCTTGGGCTGTTGCGTGGGCATTATCGGACAACCTTACAGGCCGTCAAGGTCGGGACTGGAGCCATCCGCAAGTCGCTTCAAGAGCAGCTCGGTATTCTCAAGAGCGATGCCCTCACTCTTGGCCAATTCCCAACCATCATCGGCGAGATAGGTACTCCTTTCGATATGGATTCCAAACGCGCATACTATGGCGACTCGCGCGGCCGTGGCGTTGGTGACTACAGCCAACAAGAGAAGGCGCTTGACGCCAGTCTCAATGGTGCAGACGGTTCCAACGCGATTAACTGGACCATTTGGACAGTACTGTCCCGATTCGTCGCATGAATGGGGCGACGGCTGGAACATGGAGGACCTGAGTTTGTGGTCCGCAGACGACATGCGCACACCGCGGAGTCCGATGTACCGTATCGGCTCTGATGAGAGCTCGGCCACAGCGGGTGCATACGGTAGCGAGGCCGTGTTGCTCAAGAAATCCGGTATCACCACAACTATCGTTCCCGTTGGTCAATCGACGTTATCCCTCGCGACCCGAACTGGCGTTGAAGCTGCGGGATGGCGCGCCAACCCCTACGACTTTTTGACCGACGGTGCTCGTGCCGTGCGCGCCTTTTGTCGTCCGTGGCCAACAAAACTTGTCGGAACATCTCGGTCGGTCGATTTCGATATTGCCTCGGCACACTTCCGCCTAGTTGTGTCTGTACGACCTGAAGACCGACTGCGGCCCGATGCTGTCGACGAAGATGACGAACTTGCAAGCGAAATCTTCGTTCCTTTGGTTCATTATGCCGAAGCCCGGCTACTACGGGAGAGCGCAGACACTCTGAGCGTTGCCAGCCTCGACGAAGAGCTACCCACCGGCAAAACATCAGCCAACGCCTCGACGGTCAATCTCGTCGGCCTCCCCGTGCTCTCGTCGTCCCAAGATATGACCGCAAGTACGAGTAGCGCCAGCACGGAAGTCGCGGGAACTGACTTGCGTGTCACTGCTGAGAAGGGCCGGGACCTGATAGATGTGGATGTGTCGGTCAGCGCTGGTCGGTGGACCGTCGAGGGCCAAACATTGCGGTGGTGGTATGATGTCCCTGCTGCGGGAGAGCCCGAGCGGGAGTACACGATAGAGATACGACGACGAGGGGGTGTAATCAAGACGGCCGAGCTTGGACAAGGATGGGTGGATAGTTTATGCCCGCCAGAGGGCTGTAACGTTATGTAGCATTTTGCTGGACATTTGGAATAATCAACATGTATCTCACGCATACCCCGAGTCTCTCGTCGGTGAGCATATGACGCAAGTGCGTTTTGCAATCGTTGCAATCGTATCTGAAGAGCTTTGATTATGGGTTACTTCCTGCCACCAAGACATCAAATCCTCAACCACGTCCGTTTTTCGTTGCCAGAGACAGCAAAGCAGCTATAACATGATACCGGACTGGAACGGAGATCTTCTCGACCTCGAAGCCTCGACATTGGGTGCAATCGCTCAGCTCTGGTGCCCAACCACGCCAAACTGTACAAACAGGACTTGTTCGGGTCATGAGCCCCTGACTCCACCCTTGCTCGCTTGGGCTCATACTTGATCCATCCAATCTCCGAAACCAGTTGGTTCATAGGCGTGTCACGGCGTATACGCGCTCCTTGCCAGTGGACCTTCAGCTACAATGCCCTCCTCTCAGCCAGTCTTCTCAACACCGCTCACGAAGCTTTTCAAAATCAACCACCCAGTCATGCTAGCGGGAATGAACGTAGGCGAGTATTCTCTCTTCGGCCGGTAACTCCATTTTTTACGAAGAAATCACAGCCGCAGGTCCCAAGTAGGTGTAGAGAAAAGTCACTTTGAAGCCTCTGAGCATACTTTAGACTTGCGGCGACCGTCACCAACTCTGGTGTGTGCAGTGCTCCCTTTAGAACTCGGCTTACGCGCTGCAAGGCGGTATTGGCGTGATTGGTGGGTTTCGCCAGACCCCGAAATTCCTCAAGGGCTCCATTGAGGAGATCAAAAGCTACCTCGAAGACAAGAATGCGCCGTTCGGCGTCGACTTGCTCATCCCAATGGTAGGGGAGGGAGCCCGCAAAACGAACAAAGACTTCACGGGCGGCCGACTGTTCGTCTTGCCTTTTGCGCTGACGCAACGAGCTACATGAGTTTTTTTTGCAGACCCGAACTGATTGATGTCATAATCCAAGGAGGAGCGTCCCTCTTCGTGTGTGCTGTCGGCGTTCCTCCTAAGTGGGCGGTTGACAAGCTTCATGCCGCGAAAATCCCAGTCATGAAGTACGTGTTCGGTGTTACATTCGCGGACGCTGCTTATTTCCCCCGTACGCAGCATGATTGGACACCCTAAGCACGTAGCGAAAGCTCTCGCTCAAGGTACATAGTGAACTATCCCAGCGCTCGGTTCCGGCTGACATGGCTAGGCGTTGATATTATCTGCGCACAAGGGGGCGAAGGTGGCGGCCATACCGGCGAAACACCGTTCTCGATCCTCATTCCTGCGGTCGTGGATCTGTGCAAGAATTCCAAGAGCCTGCTCACAGGCGAGCCGGTCATTGTCGTTGCCGCAGGCGGCGTCGCAGATGGACGGGGCTTGGCGGCTGCACTTTCGTAAGCGCATTCATATGTCCGTGGCGACCCCTCGAGCTTTTGCACAGGTACGGCGCTTCGGGTGTTTGGGTTGGGACACGCTTCGTTGCAAGCGATGAGGCCGGGGCACCGAGAAAGCACAAAGAAATGGTCCTTAGCGCTGGCTTTGACGATGTGAGCCGAACACTAATCTACAGCGGCCGGCCGATGAATGTCCGAGCAACATCTTATGTGAAGGAATGGGAGACGACTCGTAAGGGTGAACAGGAAAAGATACTCGCAGCAGGCAGAGTTCCGCACCTACGTTGAACTGGAAAAGAACCCGCAGCGTTCAATGGAGGGCTTTCGCCTGTGCGCATTTATCTTGTCTGTTCGGTTTGGTCTGATCGTCCTCTGTAGGGCTGATGGGCAAGGTTGCAGGCAGCATTCAGGAAATCAAGCCCGCCAAAGAGATGTGAGTGAAACTTTCTTTATTTTGCCAGCATTGCCCACCCGCTCCAGTGTCGATGAAATGGTCCAGACGGCCGCAGAGAGTCTTAGCGCTGCGAACAACCTCAAGGCCAAGCTGTAGCATATATATCTAGGACGTATCTTGTGGAAGTACGTGCCAGTGAACTAGCAACCATTTCACCAGCTCTTGAGGACCGTCTCCTACCATGGAAAGCTCTGGCAGCCAGGTTAATCGTTGGTGTGCAGGATAAATAGTCTGTCGCCGGTAGACAACTGGAAACGCGCCTGGAAGCCATTCTCCGACATCGTTGAATCAAATCTGTACCTGGAAAACATAAGAGAACCACCGTTGGAAAGCCGAGGTGCTGCGCCAAGGTTAAAGGGACATTCTGTGCGTCTGGTGCGTCATTAACAAGATAAAAGGGTTCGAATCGAAAAATAGGGGCTAACCCGGATTCGAACCGGGGGCCTCGCCCATTCTCTGAGGCCGTAGGAACACAGCCGGGAAAACCCGAAGGGCGAATCATACCTCTAGACCATTAGCCGGTAAATGAAAGTGATGGTGGTTCAATGAACCGATCGTAGGCCATCAGTGTCATTGATGGGTGACCAAAAAAGGAAGGTGGCATGCGCACTGAGCCTCCCGCGACAGTGGACGCGGAAGCGAGTTGAGATGTGTTGGGACGTATCTAGTACCGCCCAACAGGCCCCTAGTCATCTCTCGAACTTCAGAACGCCTTCAGAGGGTCAGGCTCTGGTGGCGAGTCGACATACGCTGTATGAGGGACTGCATCTACCCCCGGCCAACTTGAATCGTCGCGTGACGGCCCTTACTCCAGGCTCCAACCCCGATGGCGCACCTCACTGCTTGCCTGCGATGTTTGCTTTGGGCACGTTTGCAGATCAGATGGGCGAAACACGACCAAACAAAAGTCGTCCATGCGACCTAAAAAGGAAAGTCTCACAGGCACGGACCGTTTGGAGCCCAAATAATTCGCACATATCATTTACGTCCTGATGGTGAATTGCGGAAGATACAAATAAATAACTCCGCCGCCCATCGATGTGGAACATCGTGCCCGTGGCTCATCAGGGACGATATCGGCGGTTAGCACCTGTTGCACGCCATCCCTGATGGTATTGCTGCCTTTGATAAGGCTGGCACCTCTTTTATAAGCGTCCTTTGTACTTATGCCGTCGGCTGGCTGCCAGGCTGCGTCGAAAGACTGAACATGAGGCATTAGTCACGCGTCACAGTTCCTTCTTGCTCCGGACTCTATAGTTGTCTTCGTACTGGCACCCGCAAATCGATTGCAAATCAAGTCTTCAAGAGCACCCAAGTCTCACTTCTGAATGGCTAGCTGTTCACAACGCAACAGCTCACCACACCGCTCACTTGCGTCCCTCGCGTTTTCCGCCTCGCTGGCGTGGGATCTTGCCGCCTCCGACCAGTTCTGCTCTTGTACCTGCACCGTATCGATGGGTAGAGTCGTGTGGTGCCCGCGAGCCTTTAGCATGCGATGATGACGGATTCGGACCGAACTATCATGAGTTTCTGAGCAGCCGACGCCTGTAGGATAGCACATTAAACACAGCGTGTAGTTGGCCAGACAATTAGACGAGTTTGTACACGAGGATGAAATCGAGATGTATTCTGTAGAGCACACCTTCTTTGTCTTCCTCCACTATCTCCCTGACCGACTACCACAATTGATTCGCTGTCCGCCAGTCATACGCCGGTCCCTTCACCGGCTGTGGCTTCCCTCGTTCCCTCCGCCCGCCGAAGGTCAGACCTCGACACCGAACCGACTTGTCCAACTCCAGACCCTGGTACATACAGTCCAGTGCTAACGCGAATGGCTAACCAGCTATCAGTCCCCGAGTCTCCACGCGCTCGCAAGCGTCAACGACTCGCAAGCCCAGCTTCAACTCATCCCACAATGCGCTACCCAGAGCAACCCGACACTCCCCACGATGCAGTTGCAGGCCCCTCGTCTGTCGGCCTCGACCATCCCATAGCGACAAATGGATTTGCGAACGGAGCGACCAGTAATGGTGTACAGAAGGCCAACGGCCACTCAAAGCAGTCTTCCGCTACTGCTCGTACCATTGCGCGCGTCACACTACCTGGAACGAGTCTGTATCCAGACGAGCCCGAGCTCAACCGGGAGGAGTTTGTAAGGCTCGTAATACAGAGTCTGCGGGATGTGGGCTACAAGTGCGTCGCAACCTATCGTTTCAAATTACGCTTATCCTCGCCAGTGAAAGCGCTGCAACTCTCGAAGCCGAGTCCGGCTATGCAATGGAGTCACCAGAGGTGGCCCAATTCAGGCACTACATCACCGACGGCCAATGGGCGAAAGTGGAGAGCTCCCTACACGCATTGGGTGTCGGCGTACAGGACCCAGAGCATCTTGCGGTGCGTGGCCACCCTCCCTTCTTCGGGATATGCTAAAGCCGCACAGGATGCCTTGTTCCTCATAAACCAGCAGAAATATCTGGAGCTTTTAGAGGCACAGAAGACGACCGACGCTGTCCATGTACTGCGGAACGAAATCGCACCATTGGGTGTCGAGACCGAGCAGCTGCACCTACTCTCGAGGTCCGTCGTTCCGCGCGACGCGGGTCTACTCTGTGCTGACCGTCTCCTAGTCTTATAATGTGCGCCAAAGCCTCTGAACTGCGAGAACGAGCGAAATGGGATGGCGCCGCAGGGAATTCGCGACAAATATTGCTAGAGAATCTACATCGTGTGTTGTTCTTGGTCGACCGTGTTATGGTTGCTAACTTTCTGGAGAATATATCCATCCCTTCAATAATGGTACCCCCGCGACGATTCGCGACGCTGCTCTATCAAGCAAACTCTTTTCAGCGGCAACAGTGTGTATACCACAATATACCAAGCAGCCCCACCGGCTTCACTCTGTTCTCGGACCACCAATGCGACAAGACGGCCTTCCCCGGTATCACCACGACGATACTAAAGATCCACAGTGACCAGGTCTGGATGCTCGAATGGAGTCGCGACGGAAACTTCCTTGCCAGTGCTAGCAGTGATAGGACAATAATTATATGGGGGCTCCGGGTAAGTTTCCGGTCTCGTCGGCGAGCACGACTAATGGCGGAATAGCCGAAGACCGAGACTACATCAATACGGGAGTGGGAACAGCGGCAACTTTTAAAGCATCCATACCCTGTTATCTCTATGGCATGGTCCTTGGACGATTCAATCCTCCTTGCTGGGACGGAACATCATATCAAGATGTGGAATACGAAGGTACGTGCTTTCTCTTCTTACACGCATGCGCGTTGATTGTTCTTCGAGACCGGGGTGTGTATTCGAACGCTTGAAGAACACTCCGAACCGGTCACTTCTCTGGTTTGGCTCCCAGACAATTCTGGTTTCTTTTCCGCAGGGATGGATTTCAAGATTGTGTTCTGGGTACGATGTCGCATCTATCGTATAGTATTTTTGTCTAAAACCTACAGAGCACGGACGGCTTACGACGGGAAGTGTGGGCCACGCCACCTGTGCGAATAGCCAGCATGGTGCTCACTCCAGACTGCTCCCGACTTGTTGCCATTGGGATGCGAGCACCATCACCAATGGAGGCGCGACCAGATGGCGAGGCTGCAGCGGGTGGCAGTGGAGGTTCCTCGTCAGCCCCGCCGCCGAAAGACGAGCATCGGCTGTTGGTTTTCGACGTCGAGACCAAGCGAACTGAGGTGTAGGTTGACTCTTGTTGCCCCAGTCTCTATCCTAACGTGGCTTAGGTCAGTCGTATTTGAGGGAGAGCTCACGAGCTTGAGCGTATCGCAAAATTCGCAATACGCACTGGTGAATCAATCGCCAGATGTGAGTCTGCCACTTGCCATATCTCCTCTAGGAATGACGTTTGTCAACTAGGATATTCAGCTCTGGGATCTGAGCATGCCGCAACTGATACGAAGGTACACGGGTCATCGGCAGTCAGCAGATATCATCCGGAGTTGTTTTGGTGGATTTGAGAGCAACTTCATCGTCAGTGGAAGCGAGGGTATTGTTCTGTTTTCTATTCTTATCCCCGACTCATGTTTCTCCAGACAGTAACGTCTATATTTGGCATCGCGACACGGGCGTACTGCTGGAGGAGTTGGAGGGTCATGGCGAGGGGAGCGTCAACTGCGTGGCGTGGAATCCGCGCAACGAGAGGATGTTCGCCAGCTGCTCGGATGACCGCACCATCCGTATCTGGGAGTCACCAGATGTGCTGGCTCTGGGCGACCACTCAGCCAAGGGAAAGGGCAAGACACGCCAACGATGGGACGACGGTGCAGCTGCAGCTGTCCCTTGATCACGAACGCTCATCCTCTACTACTCACGCCATTGACACACATTCCAACAACTCATCGCATTTTCTCCTATTGTATGTACATATAGCGTCGCAGGACTACACCGCAAACCACAATCCTAAGCATAGATAGGCATCGAACAGAGAACAAAGAACATCACAGGTTCATGTGTGCGTGAGATCATGTTTGCCGTCTCGAGAGAGAGAAGTAGTTAACGTTCAGACATTCATGTTCGACGTCAAGCTTGTGTGAGATGCACACTGCGTCGACGAGAGCCTGAGCACGCCGATACGCAGTCTCTTCGTGATTTTGCATTGGTAACGTACAAGAGCTCAACACGAGGACCCAGAAGAACCGCAGTTATTCCCATAACCGGTTGGTTCCACGATCGCGGGACGAAGTATCAAAATGCCGACGACGGGAAGGTATCTGTAGCAAAAGATCTTGCCAAGACCTCGACGGTACTCGACACCAAAGACTTGGAACCAACTGGGCGCCGCGGCCTTACGAGTCACTCCACGAAAGAGATGGACTGTTGCCCTAGCTAACTCGTTGAGAATACGCCCGATGTTTGGGCATGAAGAGAGACGCGGCAGGGTCTCGTTTCATGGTAGCCTTGCGTGGAGGATGCGAAGGTACAGAGGATGGCTCGGTAGGATTGGGCTTCTGTTTTTTACGTGGAGGGTGTCCGTCGGTCTCCGGGGAGGATAATGGGGGAAGTGAAGCCGTTTGGTCGAGGGGTTATAGGTTTATTCTGGGGAGGCGAAGAAGCAGTGAGGGACTGTGAAGTCGATCCGACAGATTTGTAGGTGGTCGGGGCTGCCTTTGTTGTCTTGGCCATGGGGGTAGGGACTTTGCGGGATGACGGTTGTGACTGCGACACGACTCGAGGCCGAGGGCGAAGGGAATAGGACAGAGTCGTCAGGCGCAAGCACTCGATAGCTTTTGCCGCTCGCGGGCATTGGGGGAAGCAGGGGTTTGCTGTAGATGTTCTTCAGACGCGATGCGTCTGACTTTGTCTTCTGGAATAAAGTCTTTGGCGGCGCAGCCACCCCCCCTGGATGGGAGATTAGCAACTCGAAAGCGGGAAAATGAGCCCTACATCTCCGTTTCCCCTGAGGAACTTGGGCGGTAAACTTGACCTCTTGCTCTTTCCTTCGGTCATCTGCCTCTTGGCGTTGTCGCCGGAGTTTGTTTCCCGCCTCCTCGATTCG